GATCTTTGTAATCCAAGATGACAATTATCTCATTAATGAAGAAAGCAACAGTTTTCCACGCGAACACTTGTCACCACCTCTTCGTTGTCACCTCCGACCCGCTACGCGCGTTGCCAAAATAGCAAGCCGTAAGCAGCGGTATCGCCGCCTCATCCACAGGCCCCTTGACCTCGTAGGCAAGATCTCTTTCTCTTTAACTTATTATTTTAATTTTTAGACCTATTATGAATTTGCTTGAACTAGACTGTGATTTGATTATGCTATGGAATGAAGATTGAGATAACTGTGTAGGCTTGCTAATGAATAATATTAAATAATGATAATATGATAAATAGTTTAAAGGAAAATTATTTTGTAAAAAGGGTTATTTTGAGATGTTATGATAAATAGTTTAAAGGAAAATTATTTTGTAAAAAGGGTTATTTTGAGATGTTTTTAAAAGAAAGAATATTTTAAAGATTTTTTAGATGTTTTTAAAAGAAAGAATATTTTAAAGATTTTTGGAGTTATTAATTATGAGAAATAAATTAAGAGCAATTATTTTGAAAAAGGGGGAAGTTTTAAATAATTATTGTAATAAATATCTTAAAAGAATTTAATTTGAAAAAGGGTTAATTTTGAATAATTATTATAATAGATAATTTAAAATAATTTATTTTGGAAAAGAGGTTATTTTGAATTGTTAATTTATTATTTTAAAAGATTATTTTTAGAATAATTATGGTGAAAGATAATTTTAAAGGAAATTATTTTGTAAAAGAATTATTTGAATTAACAAGTTTATTATTTTAAAGGATTATTTTAGAATAATTATTATAAATTAAAAGAATTTATTTTGTGAAAAAAATCATTTGTTTAGGAAAATTATAATACCTTAAAATAAATTATTTTGGAAAAAGATTATTTCAGATTACATAGACGCTACTTATAGTGTACAATTCTTAGATTTAATTATTTTGATATGCCATGATACCGTTGCACATGATTGGTTGTATTCATTTATTATTTTCTTATTGTGATCGAGAACTATTAGTAGTTCATAACTTAGTGGTCTCGTGCATCATGAACAAGATTTAGTGACATATGTGGGTGTGTTGACTAAATTAGGGGGTGAACCATAATTCTATTGTAGGTTATGTTAGTTGACTTAGAAAAACAAGAGATGTTGGGATGGGAAAGTCTTGGTTCGCATGATCGAATGTGACTGTTGATTTATCTTCCAGACTCGCACTAGTGACCTGTTTTGTCCTGGGGTTGGTTTGTTGGACCAAGTGACTTGTTTCGTCACTTTGGTTAGTGACTTGTTTTGTCACTTTGGTCAGTGACCTGTTTTGTCACCTGAGCTTTGCCTGAGTTTGGACCAGGCAGAGATCAAATTGTGTGTAGTCTTCTAGCCGCCTATTTCGAGGGATTGGATGCACGTAGGGGATTATGAACAGTCAGTCTTCCGGTAATGCGAACTTTGACCTATTTGAGATGTGGACCGGTGAGATGTCATAGGATGGTTAGTAGCATGACCTCATTCCTAGATAAATTGATTGATTATTATGATCTAGTAGTGATTTGCATCTAATAGTTAGAATTATAGTTGCATACTTCTATTCTTTTTATTATTACTGTCATTGCATTGGTTATTCGACCGTTTCATTTCTCCCATGTAGGATCTTACCGTGTGTCAAGCACACTGACGTACACCTGTTTTCTCTGGTGTATGTCAGATTTAGAGGACGGACAGGTCCAGTATGATATTACATCAGAGCTAGTGTATGCCCAGCCAGAGTGTCTTCCAGATGGAGCAGAAGGACAAACAGAAGCCTAGTCTTTTTCTTTCTGTAGCAGTTGATGAATGCTAGATTTCTTTTGTAATACTTTTCCTTAGTCTGGTGTTGGATTTAGTTATTTATGCAGTACTCCTTCTTATTTCTGTTGGACTATGTATTTTCATGTTTTTAATTAGACTATTTTGTAATAAGGGCATGTTTGACCCGTATTTTATGTCTCAGATGATCTACTTTTGATGATATGTCTATTTCTTATTCTGAGTTATTTATTATATTCTTGCTATCTGTGATCAAGGACATGTGACTTCGTATTGTATTATTGCTTGACGCTTAGCATATTAGGTTGAGAAGAAATGGTCTATTATTTATTCTCCTCGATCTAATACGTTGCGGGCTTGTTCACATTTCGATTCTCCGATATTTTGGGAAGCGGGGCGTGGCAGAGATTTGTGTTCAAGAGAAACACACTAAAAACCCTTCAAGTCAATAACTAGAGACTCTGAACCCCTTGAGTTAATTCATAGTAATGTGTGTGACTCGAACCGAGTTCTCACTCGAGGGGGTAGGAGATATTTTGTAAATTTTATAGACGATCACTCCAGATATTGTTACACATATCTTCTCAAAACTAAAGATAAAGTTTTAGATATGTTTAAGGTGTATAAAGCTAAATCTGAGAACCAACTTGACAGAAAGATCAAGATTTTTAAGATCTGATCATGGAGGGGGAGTATATCTCAAATGATATGACTGAATATTGCTAAGAACACAGTATTATCCATGAGGTAACTGCTCCCTATACACCGTAGTCTAATGGGGTAGCTGAACGAAAGAATAGAACCCTTATGGACATGGTATACTGTATGTTACTCAATTCAGGAACACTTGAAAATCTCTGGAGTGAAGCTCTTCTTTCTGCCTACTTCATTCTCAATAGGATTCCCCACAAATCTTCCAATATAACTCCTTATGAATATTGGAAGGGGAGAACTCCTAGGTTAAACTTCTTCCGGGTTTAGGGTTGCTTAGCTAAGGTAGCTATTCCTAAACCTAAGAAAAAGAAAATTGATTCTAAGACTATTGATACTGCTTTTGTTGGATATGCACTAGATAGCAATGTTAACAGATTTCTAGTCATTAACTCTGAAATCAGTGACATATCCAATAACATTATCATTGAAGCTAGAGATGCAGTCTATTTTGAAAACATATTTCCTTTCAAATCCAAAATCTCAGAAAATCCAATATCATCTCTTCCTTCTAATCAACCATCTTTTTGTTCTTCTCAGCCTCTTGATATTGAACCACGAAGAAGTAAAAAATGTAGAATTCAAAAGAATTTTGGAGAATATTTCTTTACCTTTCTTGTTGAAGGTGAACCAAGCTCCTTTAAGGAAGCAATGGATTCACCTGAATCTCCTTTCTGGAAGGAAGCTATTGATAATGAAATAAAATCTATCATGAAAAATCATATTTGGATACTCACCGACCTACCTTCAGGTTGTAAACTTGTTGGTTGTAAGTGGATATTCAAGAAGAAACTTAAAGCTGATGGTTCCATTGATAAATATAAAGCTAGATTAGTAGCTAAAGACTATACTCAGCAAAAGGGCATCGATTACTTATATACATATTCTCCTGTAGCTCGAATCTCAACTATCTGAGTATTATTAGCCTTTGCTGCTATTCATAACCTGATCATATATCAAATGGATGTCAAGACTACTTTTCTGAATGGTGATTTAGATA